ATGCGGCCAGGCGGGATGCCGTTGCAGGCCGAGCCCCATAGGGCTTTGGCAGAGGGGCCCGCGCGCAAGACCCTCGCCTGCCGAAGGCCAGGCCCGAAGATCTTGTGGAGCCTGCTGGCCTGCCGCAGCGCCGCGAGCTCCCTGCCGACCTGAGTCGCGACTCGCCTGTGGCTGCCAACCGTGGCGTCGACGCCGAGGTCGCGGTGGCCCGAGACGAAGGCCTCCGCCGCGAGCTGCCAGTCGGGTTCCTGCTGCAGGCGGCGCTGGAGGCCCACCGTGGAGGCCAAGACCTTCGTCTTCGTCCAGTTGATGGGCAGCCGCCTGTCCGCTAGCATCTCGACCACGCCGCTGACGAAGCTCGCGATCGTTCGGCTGAGCGTCGCCGCCGACCCGACGCCGTGGCCTGCTATGTCGTCGATGACGTTGACGACCCTGCCGACGGGCAGCAGCGCCCTGGCCTGGAGCAGGAGGCCGTGCAGCATGAGCCTGGCCAGCGTCGTCGCGCAGGAGCAGCCCGCGATGATGGTGCCGCTGACCTCAATGGGCTCGCTGATGGCGGCGTCCGCCGAGGCTCGGCGCGGCCCAGCGTAGACTACGCAGAGGGCCCTGAGCAGGCCGACGCTGAAGCCGTTGCCCTCCGCGGCCTGGCGCAGAAGGTCGTGGTCGATCCGCCCGTAGAACTTGCTGATGTCGAAGTAGACGGAGGCTGCCTCGAAGCCAAGCTGGCGGGCGAGCGCGAGCCCCAGGTTGTGGAGGTAGGCCGCCCTGTCACAGCTGGTGTTCGCGTCCTTGCCCCAGACCTCGGGGAGCGGGTGGTCCGCCTCCCACTTGGCGCAGTAGCGGCGGCGCACCCTGCTCCAGATGCGCATCCACATGCTCATGAGGCCGATCGGGCGGCGGCCTCCGTCTGGCTTCCCCAGGAAGACGATCACCGTGGTGAAGAGGGCTGTGGGCTGCGGCTGCTGCTCCCAAGCCGTGAGCACCTCTGCCATCCTCTCGGCGAAGGGCCTGCCCAGGGAGAGGACCAGCCGCGGGTGGAACGCATCCCAGCCCAGAGCGGTCTGCTTCGGGAACGACTTCGCCGCCTCGAGGATGTCGTCCGCCGTGATCGGGGGCAGCTCCATGGAGCAGATCCAGTCGGCTGGTCTGGTCCTGTGCTCCCCGTCGGCTCCTTTCCAAAGGGCCTTCCACTCTATGAGGATCTGGTCCAGGGCTTGCTGGCCAACAACGGGGAGCGGCAGGCTGTCGGGGCAGTGCGCGATCACCGAGTCCAGCACCTGGTCGCGGTCCTTTATGACAGCGTGGGCTCCTTTCGCCCCTTTCGCCAAGGCCTCGTCCAAGAAGTCCTTCCAGCGCAGCCTGGCCGCCTTGGCGTTTTCTTTGCAGCGTCTCGCCGTCGTGCTCTCGATCATCTGCAGGAAGGCCTGCCCTTGCTCAGTGGGCTCCTGGATCACCTCGATCAGCGAGTCGAGCTTCGTGCCTTCGAACATGGCGCAGCCCGCCTACTCGAACTTGGGCCCCAAGCTCTTGGCCACCTGCACCAGGTGCTTCATGTAGCCCACGTGCCCCACAGGGGGTGAGCAGACCGCAGCAGCCGCACTGAGCTGCCTGGCGATCCTCCCGAGGCAGAGCCAGCACTTGGTGAGGGGGCTGAGCTTCCTGACAGCCTCCGTGCGCTGCAGGTCCGCCAGCTTCTTCCTGACGGTGCGGGGTCCTTTGGCCCTGCCCTGGTACCTCTCACCCTCGGAGATGCCGAACTGGTCGATCAGGTGGAGCTCCGCGGCCTCGAAGAACTCCTTGATCGCCGCGTCGGGCGTGCCGTCGCTGTCGGTGAGGGGGGCTGACCAGCTGATCTGGGTCGCCGCCTGCAGGGATTTCTCGCGCTGCTCAGCCGAGACCTCCGAGCCCACGTCGAAGAACCTGGGGGTCTTGAGGACCCAGATCATGGCGTTGCTGCCCAGCTCGCTGAAAGTGAGCTGCACTGGCGCGTGCGGGCGCAGGGTTGTGGGCTTGATGACCTCCACCTTCGGGCTGGGGCCGGCGAGCGCCGTGGAGATCACGAAGAAGTCGTAGATCTGGTCGCCGCAGGTGAAGGTCGCGGGCGCTACCACCACTCCGCCCACAGCCCGTGGCCACCAAGAGGCGGCGAGGACGCTGGGGTCCATATTCCAGTCGGCCCCCACTATGAACGGCTCGTGGAGGCTGAACAGGAACTCCTGGAGGTCCGACAGCAGCTCCAGGTTGTAGCCTGCCATCCTGGTCGAGTGCTCGAGGTAGACGCTGACCACCGTGACCACGAGATCGCCGAAGGCCACCCGTCGGGCCAGGATGCGGGCTCTGTGCTGGTGCCAGTCGTGGTCGATCGACGCCACGCCCCTGGTCGTTGACGCCAGCACCCCGACGCCCGCCGAGACCGCCTGCGCCGCCTGCCCCGTGCTGTGGACGCTGCCGAAGGCGGCGCTGAAGCAGTTGCGCCTGGCCCAGCTGCAGGCGTCAGTCGCCTTCTGGCTGGAGGTGAAGCGCGTCTCCTGCACCAGGATGACGTCGTCGCCTCCTCCATCGTCCTGGATCCGCTCCAGCTCCACCTGCGTCTCTGACCAGGTCGAGCCGTTCAGCGTGACGAAGCTGGCTCGCTTCGCTCCCGCAGGCCTGATCAGCTTGGCCAGCTGGAGGGGCTTGGCCTGCGGTCGCCCAGGCTGAGGCTGGGCCGCAGGCTTCGCGGCTGCCGCGGCGGCCGCGCGGCCGCCAGGCGGGCGGCTGCTCGCCGCCTTGGGGCTCCGAACCTCAGGGGGTCTCACGCCCTCGCCCGTAGCCTCGTCAACTTGAATTGGGCACCCACGATTCCTTATGGGCCCCTGGCTGGGCTGAGGACTGCCAGTCCTTCGGTCGGGCCCAGCCAAGTCCGCCACAGCGCTTGGCTCTGTCCTGCTGCTGAGCGCCTCGAACTTGGTGTCGTGGCGCGCGTCGTCGAGGCGCCGGTCCTGGCGCAGCAGCGGCACTCTGAAGGGAAGCCCTTCCCAGGCATCGGCCTCCTCGTTGGCCGCCAGGTAGGCGTGCAGCAGGCCGCCGCTCGGCGCCGCCGCCGCCTCGGAGCGGCTGGGCGCCGCCGCCTCTGCCTCCTCAGCCCCTGCTGGGGCGGGCGGCGCCGCGCTGTCGGGGCCGCCGCCTGGCAGCAGGGTGCTACCCGCGGGCCTGGCCACTGCCAGCAGCAGCGCCAGCAGCAGGTGGAGGGGCCGCCGCAGCGGCCTTCTGGTCGGCAGCGCGCTGGCGGGCCGCCTCGTCTGCCGCTCGGCTCTCCACGGCGGCCGCTGGGGGGGGGCCCAGCTCCTGGCGCAGCGCCTGCGGCGCGGGCGGCGGCGGCAGCAGGGGCGGCCGCCTGTCCTGCAGGCTGCGGCGGGGCGGCAGCGCCCTGCTCGGGGGTGCCAGCGGCCACGGCTGCTGCAGGCCCCTCCTCGGTGCGCTTGCGCTTCTTGGCCACCTCCTCCTCGATCTGGCGCTTGATGCGCTGCTGGTGCTCCTGGCAGTTGCGCTCGAACGTAGCCTGCGCGCCCTGCATGATCTGGAGCCCCTCATCGCAGAGGCGCCTGAGGGTGGCCTGCGCCTCCTCCTCCAGCTCCGCGAAGTTGTCGAACGACTCCGCGTCGAAGTTGAAGGTGAGCTGCCTCGCGCCGTCGGGCTGGGCGCCCACGACGCCAGCCGCCTGGGCTCGCTGGCGCAGGAGGGCGTTCTCCTCCTCCTTGGCCTCCGTGAGGTTGACCGCAGCCTCGTCGCGCCAGCCGCGGCACTCAGCGAGGTGGTCCTCCGCCGCCACGAGCGCGTCCGCCGCCTCGTCGAGCTGGCGCTGGAGGTTGATCCGCTTCGCCGTGGCCGACTGCAGCCGCTGCTCGAGCGGCTTCGGCGCTGGGGCGACCGCGGGCGCGACGTAGCCCCGCGCGTCGCGGACCGCCTCCTGCAGCCTGGCCGCGATGGCGGGGTCCCCACAGGCGAGGAGCGCGTCGAGCTCGCTCTCGGGCAGGGCCGACCAGGGGGCCTTCGGGAAGCCGCCTCCGCCACGGCCGCCCGCGCCACCGCCGCCGCCGCCACGGGAGGCTGCACCGCGGCCCTTGCCGCCCTTGCCGCCCTTGGCGCCATCCTTCGGTGGGCCTCCGCCGCCGCCTCCACGATGTGCGAGTTGGGAGCCGCCGCCGCCGCCGTCCGCCCAGACCCCGCCGCGGGGCGAAGGCTTCGAGGGCGCCAGCTCCAGCCCAATCCCGCACTGCCAGCACTTCGCGTTCTTGCGGAAGTTCCAGCGGTAGCGGCAGCCCGTGCACACGACGAAGCCAGGCGCGGCCTTGGGCCCCATCGCTGGATCGGGCGGGCGCGCTGCTCAGCCGCGGGCGTGCAGCAGGCAGGAGCCGACGGGGGCGGACCCGCCGACACAGAAGAAGTCGTGACCCGCAGGTCCTGGAGGGTGCTGCTCTGGCAGCTCAGATTTTGGCACGGAGGCGCGGAGCCCCCCAGTGCAGGCATCTTGAGCCAAAATGGCTACGGATGATGGTGAGGGCATTGGATGAGGATCCCTCGGATAAGGAATCCAGGGTCTGCAAACCTGGTTGAGCACCACTTGAGGCGTGGCCACGAACCATGAATATCAGCGCCACCTTCATCAGAGAAGGGACCATCCAGGGTCTGAAGCTTCATGGGCACATTCCTCTTCCAACGCCCCCACCGTATCTACGGTTGGGAACTTTTGCTGAGCGTGTCGCGGCGGCGGCCCTGGCGTCCTGCTACCCCCTGCAAGCGGACAATGTGTCGCTCCGCTCCGCGGGGGTGGGAGGTTCGGGAAAGCTCGGGACTTTGACGCCTGGGGACCGCGACATGGACAGCGTGCCGCACCGAAAAGCGTGGTGGGCCAGAACCGGCGGAGCGACACGCCATCCAGAAGCTCCCCCCTGCACGTGCACGCACAGCTGCTCCCTCCTCGTCGGGGGGCGTCTGCCCCAGCGCCACGCCGACGGCGCCTAGAGCCCCGGCGGGGGACCCGCCAGCAACAGGCCATCCAGGAAGGCGCCGCCGACCTTGGCCTCTCGCAGCTCCGCCGACAGGTCGATCGACATCGACTCGGACGGCTCCGACGGCTCGGAGGGCTCGGACGGCTCGGGGGTCCCGGACAGCCCACGGCGCACGGCGGGCCGCGGCGGGGGCAGCTCGGAGAGGACGCGGGAGCGCTCGAGGAGCCTCGTGCGCTCGAGGAGCCGCGAGCGCTCGGCCAGCAGCTGCAGGCAGACCGCGTGCCACAGGCGCGCCTCCCCCGGCGAGGCGGGGGGCGGGGCGCCACCCTGGCCGATCCGCGATCCGCTTCGCAGCATGCTCTGCTTCGCGAGCCGCCGCGCCTGGAGCTCCCCGGAGGGGCAGAGGTGGCAGTGCTGGCAGGCCTGTTGGCGGCGAGCACCGGGGGGGGGGCGCGAGGGGGGGGGGGGGCCTTCTTCTCGAAGGCGTGGGCCTGCTTCTCGAAGGGCCCTGAGGCTTGCAGGCAGGGCCCCTTGCACAGCCGGACCGGGACAGAAGGACATCCTTCGAGAGCATGAGACCCTCCGCCGGCCAAAATGAGGCGCATTCGAGGGTACCCTCCCCCAGGACGCACAAGAACATCCAACAAGCACGAAGAAAATTGGGGTACCGCACCCTCCCCGAACCGACCTCGATCCCATACCTCGGTCCGACTGCAAACTAGGACAGAGACTTTGAGACTTCCACCTGGAGAGGACGAAGAACGGAGAATAATACTTCGACCCACGGCTGCACATGGCTCTCGGGCGCGCCAGATGATCCGAATGTCTTGGTTGAGCAAAAAAGTCCCCGCTCCGGGAGGCCCTGATGTCCAGGAAGGCTCCTTGGAAGCCGGCAGGGCTTCTGAGCAGCCCCCCGAGCGACGATCCAAAGCGGGCCCTGCGCGAGATGGCACAGCGACCTCCCACGCCGCGGCCTGCCCCGGCCGCCAGCGCGGCAGGCTGCGTGGGGGAGCGAGGGCGCGCACGCGGGACCCTACGCGGGCAGCTTCGCGCGCCAATGCCGGCGCAGACGACCCCGACCTCTCGCGTCGCCCGCCTGCCCTCTGCGCCGCCCCCCCCCCCTCGCGCCCCCACAGCTGAAGGGGCCCAAGGACACACAAAGAAATACACACAAATAAAAGGATTCCCCATATTTCCCCGTATTTTCGGTTTTCTTGTCCTCCCCCCCACTTCCCATATGTTCCCATACTTCCCTGGGGATCGACGATTAATTGTGTCGGTGTGTGTTTTTCCCCTCCTGACCCTCGCGCCCCCACAGCCCCTTCCCCTTGTGCGCGCCGCCGAGCCTGGCCCTTGCCGCACCCCGCCGGCTTCCACAGGAACGCGCAGGGCCGGCAGCTGCCGGTGCCGTGCAGGGCGGAGCCTGGGCGGGCGCCGACTGCACACCTGCGCCTCGAGCAGGGGATCAACCAAAGAATCGACTTGCCCCAAAATTGCGCTCCACGCCGAAGGCATGAAAGAAGTTCGCAGAAGGTTCGTAGAACGAACATGCTGCGCTGTATCCATGGATCCGACGAGGGCATTAGAAATTAGTTCTGGGGCAAATCAGTTCTGAAGTCGATCGCCTACCTCGGACGCACGCACCCTGACCAGGCCCATCCTGGGCCCAGTGTGCGGCCAATGATGCTGCTTCGCGTGTCGCGGCGGCGGCCCCGGCGATGCGCTGTGCCGTGCAGCGTGTCGCTCCGCTCCGCGGGGTGGGAGAGGCTAGGGATGTGTATGCATGGGGTCTGGTACGTGATCAGCGTGTCGCGCCGAAGCGTGGTAGCCCAGAACCCGCGGCGCGACGCGCCAAGCAAAACTCCCAGACCGCACGTCGGGCGGGGCTGAGACAGGGATAGATCGTCCCAGAGCGTTCTGGAACGCCCTCAGAGCGCCCCAGAACGCTCTGAGAAGGCCGCGGCGCCCCACACATGCTCCAGAGCCGCTGGGTCTCAGAGATCCCCATTTTGTCCTGGTCCGAGTGTGTCCCTGTCCTACCTTCGTCTTCACCCCCCCTAAAATCCGACGCTGCAACATCGCCAAACAAATCACGACCAGAGCTCCACACCCCATACACTCCGCATCGTGTCCCGAGCCGCATCGACCTGTGAGGGTCCCAGGGGCCCGACACCGCGCGAAAACGCCCGCCGTGAAGACATTGCAACGCGAGCCAGGAGGGCGAATGGGGGGCCCAAAGATATACACCACCACCACCTCCCCACCCCCTCCCTCCCCCCGGGAAAGCGGAGCGAAAGAGGAGGGGAGAGGAGGGAGGAGGCATCGACGTGGTGGCGGTGTCTATTCTTGGGGCCCCCGGCGAAGACGCCGGGCCCTGGCCTGGCCGGGGCCTGGCCAGGGCCGGCGCGGGCGCACGGGCGGGCGCCCCCCGAGAGCCCACGGAGGGCAGCGGCGCCGGCCGCGCCGCCTTCGCCGAGGAGGGCGGCCGCGCCGGCGGCGGCAGCGCCGCCCCCAGCAGCACGGGCAGGGGCGGAGGGTGAGGCCGCAGCGCGCGCGGCGCCGCGGAGCCTCGTGGGGGACTCCAGTGGAGGCACCGTGGATGGGGTCGCAGGGTCGCGCCGCATCGCCGGTGCATCGCTGATGCATCGGCGATGCATGTGGCGATGCATCGGCACCAGCGGCGTGGGGGAGCTCTGGCCCCACATCCAGCCGCATCGTCGATGCATCGTTGATGCAGAGCGATCCTTCGACCCCATCTACGCGGACCCCATTGGGGAGGCCTGGATCCACGACCCTGGGATCTGGACGTGGCAATGATTTTCACTCTGGACGTCTTCGCCCGGCTTCGGGCCACAGGACCATCACGGATCGATTGGGCTCGAAGAATGCCGCAGAAAGATGGGGTCTGGGGGTCGGGTCCAGATTTTTCCCGATCTTGTATTGTCTTAGACACGTCGGATATCAGGGGACTTCTGCTGCCCCTCGACGCGCGCAGGAGCGTCCGCGACCTGCTCCAGGACCTCTGGATTCGCCTCGACCTGCCTGGACCTACCCTGACCTGGCTGGGTTTAGCCCGATACACCTGGCCTCTATCCTGGAGTTAGGTCGGGTATGTCCTCCTATAGGCGGGCTATGACATAAAAATCAACAAAGGCAAGACAGACTTGTTGAATGATCATAAAAGCACGAGAAATCGTCACCACATCATTCGTTACAATTCTTGGACTTCCTTCCTGCAGAGGGACATGCCTGGCTTAAGACTTGGCTGGCTTTACCCCGATACACCTGGCCTGATCCCTACACGTCCATGGGAGAGACGCCCGAGATGGGTACGGAGAAAAATGCACGATGCCACACCAAAACTTGTGTCAGAACCGACAGCAGCCGCTGTTGGGCAGGCGGCCGTCTGCCTCAAGTGGACCACACCCGTGGCGACACCAGCAGCGAGGGGGCCGTCCAAGAGGAGGGGGGGGCGCAAATCATGGCCGGCGGCATGTGCGCGGCCCAGGGGGAGCCGGGGACGTACCGAAATAAGAAGGGGCGCCACGAAATCTGGGGGAGATCCCCCGCCATAGTATCCCCCCCCCTGGTCATCACCCTCCTCTCGGCCGCCCCCGGATCGATCCCCGGGCGCGCGGGAGCGGGAGCGGGACCCAGGCGGGAGGAGGCCCAGAGGAGGATGAGGATCGAGGATCGAGGAGGAGGATCGAGGAGGATCGAGGAGGATCGAGGAGGATCGAAGATCACCCCCTGGTTCAGAATGGACAAGATCTGCTGCCGGTCTTCGTGCCCAGTCTGTCCGTGCCCGCCTCGATCGTAGACCGACTTTCGAGCCCTCTGGGAGAGCCTTGGAGCGCGGCCTCTGGCTCGAGGAGCTGCGCGGCTGCCTCGGGACCAGAAAACACCAGCGACACCACCCAACCTGCCTGCCGCCCCACGGGGCCTGGCATATCCCTCCTCCCTCCTCCCTCCTCCCTCCTCCCTCGTAGAGATCTGGCGCGGGCTCTTTTGCGTGGTGTACGCTACGGCCCCCGATGGGCCCCAGCGCAACATTGAGGGCAGGAGAGGCCAGAAGTCAGATCGGCGATGGACGTGAATCGGATCGACGGAAATCGTCGGCCGAGTCGGGAAAATTCGAATCGGCAGACATCGGCAGGCTCGTATATGCCTCCGCTGAGACCTCGGGTCCCGAATCAGAATCCGAAGCAGAATCGAATCGGAATCGGAATCCGTCGAACTCGAAGCGAAATCGAAGTCGGAGGAATCGAACAGGTGCCCTGGAAGGGCCGTCGGCGGAGTGCTGCCCCCCAGACCCCAGACGTCGTGATTTCTTTTCACAACGTCGACCCCAGAGGTCTGGACCCCTTCCGCGGGATTGGCTCTTCCTCCTGAGCCGTTTTTTGGGATACAGTCAAAAACCCTAATAAGGACGCGCGGTAAGGACGCAAGACCCTTGGAAGCCGAAGTTGGGATTTTTGGGGCGGCGGTCGACGAAAACCCCAAGGACGCAAGAGCAAGGAAGAGCAAGGATGCAAGGATACCCTGAGCAAAGTCGCGCGTCCTTATTAGGGTTTTTGACTGTAGTCCCGAGGCACGGTAGGGGCCCCCAGAGGGCCGAAAAAATAGCGAAAAAAGCCTCCCGCGGCGAGCTCCCGAGGCCAGGCCCCCGAGGGCCGAGCATAGAGAGAAGCCTCCCGCCGTGAGTTCCCGAGGCCTGGTACAGGGGCCCCCGAGGGCCGGACATAGCGAAGAAAAACGCAGCGAGTTCCCGCGGCCCGGTCGGGCCCCCGAGGGCCAGAAGTTTGTTTCATTATTTTAATACTAATAATAATAATAATAATAATAATAATGATAATAATAATAATAATAAGAATAAGAATAAGAATAAGAATAAGAACAATAATAATAGTAATACGAATAATAGTAATAATACTAATAATAATAAGACTAATAATAATAATGCTAAAGGTAACGATAATGATAATAATGATGATAGTCAGAATGCTTGATATAACAATGATAATACGAATGATAATAAGAATGATAATAATAATGATAATAATAATAATAATGATTTCAATAATGATGATAATAATAGATTATACGAATACTAATAATGATAACAATACTAAATAAATAAAAAAAAACTAATAAATAAATAAATACATATATACTACTATATCTATAAGAAGAAGAAGAAAAAAGAAGAAGAAGAAGAAGAAGAAGAAGAAGATGAAGAAGAAAAACAAAACAACAAAAAAAAAGGAGCGAGTTCCCGAGGCCCGGTAGGGATCCCCGAGGGCCGGAAGTAACGAAAAAACCTCCCGCAGCGAGTTCCCGAGGCCCGGTAGGGGGCCCCAAGGGCCAGAAATAGCGAAAAGCCTCCCGCAGCGAGTTCCCGAGGCCTGGTATAGGGGCCCCCGAGGGCCGGAAATATAGAAAAAACCTTCTGTCCTGATTTTTGCTCACAAGGCGAAGGGCTCACCTGACTCGCACGGCGCGTCTCAAGCCTGTGCCTTAGCTTCCGGCCTTCGGGGCCTCTTCAGGACAGCTCTTGACTGAAATGGCCGAGGCATGAGGTCCGCGAGCGTGCATGTGACACGCTGCTGACTGCAGTGCTGTGCGATAGGCGAGTAGCTACACATGCAAATAACTATCAACAATCCCCCCTCTTGCCGTCGCTCGGACGTCCATTTCCCGTGCATTATTCGGTTTCGTGCGTGTTCTTTTTCCTCGATGGTCCAGGATGCTCTTCGACGGCCCTCGCCGAGAAAAAATGCACACGTCCGAGCGATGCCAGGGAGTAGCTACACATGCACATAAATATCAAGAATCCCCCTGTACTGGATGCTTGCTGACTCTCACTGCTGGCCGCGCCTCTGCAGGAGGAGGAGGAGAAGGGCGAGGCGAGGGGAGAGGAGGAGGAGGAGACGAGGAGGAGGAGGAGGAGGAGGAGGAGGAGGAGGAGGAGGAGGAGGGGGGAGGAGGAGGAGGAGGAGGAGGAGGAGGAGGAGGGGGAGGAGGAGGGAGGAGGAGGAGGAGGAGAGGAGGGAGGAGGGAGGAGGGAAGAGGAGGGGAGGAGAACCTTTGGTCCAGCCGCGCCTCTGCAGGAGGGGCAGGCTGCAGCGAGAGCAGCTGCCAGAGCGGCGGCCGCACGTCGGCGTGGCCCGGCGGCGCGGCGCCGGCGCCGGCGGCGCCCGGCGGCCCCCGGCCGGCGAGGGCGCGCGCCCCGCTGCCCGCGCGCTTGCTCTTCTCTTGGGGGAACAAAGGAGCATGGCACGAGCATAGACTTTTGTGGGCCCCGAGGTCCTGGCCGTCGCTCGGACGTCCACTCCCTGTGCTTCTTTATGGCTTCGTGCGTGGCTTCTGCGCAGGATGATCCAGGATGCTCCTTGATAATCCCCGCCGAGAAAAAGAGTGCACACGTCCGAGCGATGCCAAGGAGGTCCTGGCGTCGCCACTCTTCACCACGGGCGGTTTCGCCCCGTGTCGGGCCCCCGAGGGCCCTCACAGGTCGGTCCGGCTCGAAGAGTGACGCAGGAAGATGGGCTCCGGGGATCCAGTCGTGACTTCTGCGATGCTGCAACTTTGTCGCCACGTCGGATCTCAGGGGAGGTCCGAAAGTTTATGTTTATGCCATCATTCGCTCCCCGATTCTTGCGCGCCTTGATCTCGCCGTCCGGGCACAGGTGGCAGTGGCGGCACTCTGCTTCGGAGGAGGACAACGTCGACACAACGGCGGCCCTCTCCCGAGACCGCTCGGGGCGTGGAAAACTCCTGGCGGGAGGCGTTTCGCTATCTTCGGCCTCCGGGGGCATTTGCAAGGCCTCGGGACCGTCAAAAGTCAACTCGGGATGAAAAAATGGTCCCCTGGAATGGGTCCAGACCTCTGCGGGCCCACGTCATGCCAAAATCACAACGTCGGGGGTCTGGGCCTGAGTGCCTCGCATGTTTGTTCCAGGCCTCCTGGAGGCTTCTCGTCGCCACGGCTGAAGCCGCCTCGAAAGTCGGGCCTGAGCGCACCCCGGGAGAGGTCCCCTTGGGGCAGATGCTGTGCTGATCTGGGCCGGGCGGCAAAGAGAGGGCCGCCGCGGTCTCAACCACGTGGATCGCCACGGGGTGGCGGTGAGAGGACCGGGGGGTCACAGGTGGATGCCGAGGCGGGCCATAGCAGCAGTAACCTAGCTTACCCATGGGTTACAACTGCCCGATGTGACTCAAGGGAAGACACATCCGGGCTAAGCCGGCGGAGCCCACTATAAGCAGATTTGTCGAACCACCCCAAAACGTGGTTACCCTGAGATCCGACGTTGCGGAAAAAAGCAACATCGCAAGAAATCACGACTGGAGCCCCAGACCCCATCTTTCTGCGTCATGTTTCCAGCTCGATCGACCTGTGAGGGCACCGGGGCCCGAAACCGGGCGAAAGCGCTCGTTGTGCAAAAAATTGCAACGCCAGGATCTCAGGGTAGGCCAGATATCATTACCACCGCAGCATCCACTTCTGATCCCCACACCCCCTCAGCAACCCCCGCGGCGGTCCCAGCAGCCCCCCTCCGATCTGCGCCGTTCTGGCAGCCGGACGGCCTGCGGAGGAGAACGAGGATGGCCTGCAGCCCAAGTCGCTTTTTCGACGGCCCCGCAGCCCCGTGTGAGGGCCCCTGGAGACGGACAACGGCGAGACGCATCCCGCCATGATGTTCTCACGTAGGTGGGCCCAGGGGCACAACTACATGGGCATAAATCCCAGGCTTCCCTATGATTTCCCAAATTTCGGATGGCTTCGTCCTCCCCACTCCCCACATGTTCCCACACTTCCCCTCGGGATCGACGAGCAGCTGTGTCTGTGCGTGCTCCCCCTCCTGGTCATCAACACCCGCGCGGTCTGGGGACGGAGGGCCGCCGCCCCAGACACCCGGCGTCTCGATGCTCTTCCCCGACAGCGAATCGCCAGAGGGTTCTCGTGAAGGGGCCCTGGGACACACGATATTTTCCTATTATATTTCCTGGGTTGTTGCCTGGGACACACGAAAAAATAGACACAAATAACAGGACACGGCGGCGGACCGCTGTAAGGCGGACCGCCAGACTCACTATAGTGAACGGGCCCGGGGACACACGAAAAAGTAGACACAAATAACAGGATTCCCGATATTCTCTCATAGTTTCTGGGCTGTTGCCTCCCCCCCCACACTGCCCATATTTTCCCATATCTTCTGGTGAATCGACGATGAATTGTGTCTGTGTGTGTGTTTTGTTTCCCTCCTGACCTCGCACGGGTCAAAGAGTCCTCGCACCAGACTCTGCTCGGGGGGGTCCGGGGGGACGCGTCTCACCCGCCCGGCGGTGCGGCCCGGAATCGGCCGCAGCGCTCCACGTGGTGTTTTGCCTCGACGTGGTCCAGAAAGTCGACTCACTATATTGAAAGGGCCCTGGGACACACAAATAAATACACACAAATAACAGGATTCCCCATATTTTCACATATTTTCTGGGTTTTTGTCTTCCCCCCCACTTCCCATATTTTCCCATATTTTTTGGAAACCGACGATTAATTGTGTCTGTGTGTTTCTTTCCCTCCTGATATATCGTATTCTGGCGGCACGGGCGCCGCCCAGAATCTGCCGGCAGCGCTCACTATGGTGTTCTGGCTTGATTGCAAGGTCGGGCAGCGCTCACTATGGTGTCTGCGACTCACAATTATGTTCTGGCGGTCCCTAACCTGCCGGCCGCGCTCACCACTGTGTTCTGACTCGATTTGGTCCAAACATGCGGCTCACTTTAGCGTTCTGGCTCGATTGCAGCCCTCGCAGTACGCGTTTCCATGTCCAAGCCACCCATCTCAGAGGGGTATCTAACATGGTGGTCCCGAGCTGGGGTATCTAACATGGTGGTCCCGAGCTTGAGCCATGTGTTTTCACAGGTTCAGGCCACCCAGAGGAATATCCAACATGATGGTCCCGAGCTGTAACCAGATGTTTTTACGTGTCCACGCCACCCAGACGAGTATCTAACATTGTGGCCCCGAGTTGGAACCACGTGTTTTTAGGTGGCCAAACGGCCCAGGGGGTCTCTAACATGGTGGTCCCCAAATGGTACCACGTGTTCCAGAATAGCGGGCCGCTAGAAGGCTGTGAGACTTCGAAGATGCCTCTCACCAAAATCTCCAACAGAGGGGGGCCGGGGGGAGGCGCCTCACCTGCCCGACGGCGCCGTCCGGCAGCGCCCAAAACGGCGTTCTGCCTCGATTTGGTTCCCAAATGCGACCCCACCACGGTGTCCTGGCTCGATTCGGTCCAGCCCGGAATCCGCCGGCAGCGCTCACCATGGTGCTCTGCTTCGATCTCGGCCCTCAGGGATCCAGAAGTTGGACTGAGCATGGCACTGTGGCTCGATCTGGTGCAGGAATGAAACTCGCTGAGTGGCTCTGGCTCGACTTCCCCTCGCCGGAATCTCCAACAGAGGGGGGCCGGGGGCAGGTGTCTCACCGGCCCGGCCCAGGCGGCGCGGCCCAGAGTCTGCCGGCAGCGCTCGCTGTGGTGTGCTGGCTCGGGTGCGTCCAGACACGCGGCTCGATCTACGGCGCCCTGGGCTCCACAGAGGGGGCCGGATGGAGGCGTCTCCCAGGCCTGGCTGCGGCCTGGCAGACTGCTGGCACCATGTGTTTTGCAGATGTTCTTGTCGATTGGGATCCTCCTGGGGTTCCAGCAAGCGTGCTTTACGCATGTGCCTATGGATTGCCCCTCTCCTGTGACTCAAATCGTGTGTTTTCTACGTATGTGCCTATAGATTGCTCCTCTGCTGTGGCTCGAATCCTGTATGTTTAAATTATGTGCCTATAGGTTGTCCCTCTCCAGTAGCTCGAATCCTATGTGTTTCAGCTATGTGCCACTAGACCGCCCCGCCCCTGGGGCTCGAATCCTGTGTGTTTGCGTATGTGTGGCTCGGGTACTATGTGTGTTACGCATGTGCCTATCAGTTGCCCCTCTCCTGTGGCTCGAACCCTGTGTGTTTACCTGTGCCCATAGAATGTCCCTCTCCTCTGGCTCGAATCCTAGGCGCTTTTACGCAGGTGCCCACAGATTGCCCCTTCCCTGCGGCTCGAACCCTGTGTGTTCTACGCATGTGCCTATCGATTGCCCCTCTCCTGGGGTTGCCTCGACCCTGCGATCCGACGCCACAAACGAACATGCGACATCCACAAACAAAAAAACGCGACCGGCGCCCTGGACCCTATCTTTCTTTGTCCCTCTTCCGCGCCGGATCGACTTGTGATGGTCCTGGGGCCCGAGCCCGGGCGAACGCGCGGGGCCCGAAAAAGTGGAGACGCCAGGATCTCGGGGGTCGTCTCGACGTGCAACCCAGGCTTCGTGGGGTTTTCGCATGGACCTAGAATTTTGGGCCCAGCCCTGGGATGTATACGATGGGGGGCACCCATCCTCGAGAAGGGTGCGTCCGAATAGCACCCTTGGGGTCTGTCCCAGAGTTTTCCCATTTTCTGAGCGGCCAAACCCTGAGATCCGACAGCGCGAAAAAATTGCAACATCGCAAAAAAAAAAAAAAAACACGACCGGAACCCCGGAACCCATCTTTCCGCGTCATTATTCGAGCCGGATCGATATGCGAACGTCCTGGGGCCCGAAACGGGGCGAAGACGCCAGTTGTGAAAAACTGCAACGTGAGGATCTCAGGGGGAGTCCCCCGTTTTCTCAGCGGCCAAACTCTTCGGGCGGAACTCGTGGATTTCTGGTGAGAGAAATTGACGAAGGAACAACACACACACACACATATCCATAGGGGGTGACGGAGGGGGCTCTGGGTGCGTCTTGTCGGATGGGGATCCCCGCTCGAACGGAGGCCTCCTCCAAGGTCCGACAACCCGCACCCATACCCATAGCCAGCCCTCCTCCCTCCGACCCCCCTGTGGGTACAGTGAAGACGCTGAAATAAGGAACAGCTTGGGTTCGGAAGAGGCTCGATGTTCCTTGGGCTCCTCCGGTGCTGTTCCTCCTGCCCTCCTGGGGCACGGAGGCGCTTGCGGGGCCAAGCAGGGGCTTCGCTCCTTATTTGGCGTTCTTTCTCTCACTGGCCCGACTGTATGGGTGCGTGCTTTTCGTTCGTCGACAACTGGCCATCGCTCGGACGTCCATTCCCTGTGTTTTTTTCGGTTTCGTGCGTGGTTTGTTCGCCAAGTGATCAAGGATGCTCCTCGATGGTCCTCGCCGAGGAAAAAACGCACACGTCCGAGCGATGCCAAGACAACCGCCTGCGAGCTCTGGCGCCCGGCGGGCCTGTGGAGGAAGGAGCACGGCCTGCAGCCGCCCGAGGCGTGGAGCGCGGAGCCCACCGACGCCAGCGGGCGCGCCGGCGCCGGCGGCGCGGGCGGCGGCGGCGGCGGCGGCGGGGGCGGCGCGGCCGCCTCCGGCAGACACTCGGCTGCACGCAGGAGGTGTGGATGCCACGACAACAAACACTTTGACAGTCCCATCATTGAACTAAAGATGTGTTTAAATGTGTAAATCATGTTCTAAGCATGTGTCAAGCATGTTTTTGCTATATTTATATGTATATATATACTCTGGAAATTAATTTGGCTGCACGCAAGAGTTGCACATGCCACGGCAACAGACACTTTATTTGTTTTTTTGATCCGCGGGTCGAGAGCGCGCCTCTTCCGGGTCGAAGCTACGCGGGCCGCGCGAGGCTTGAATTAGTTAGGCGGAGGGAAGGGAGGAGAAAGCGGCGGGGCCTCAGGGCGAGGCCGAGGGGAGGCAAAGCCCCAGAGACAGAACAGACACTTTAATTTAACAGTCCTATCATTGAATTAAAGATGTGTTTAAAATGTGTAGAGCATGTTCTAAGCATGTGTCAACCATGTGTTTAACATGTTTAGAACATGCTTGCAACATCTTGTAGACATCTGGAAATTAATTTGGCAGCACGCTTCCTCTCCATGGATCGACTTCCACAACGCAAGAGCAACTCCGGGTAAGAGGGACCTTTGGTGCGCGACTTCGCGGGGGCCGCGGGGGGGCCAAACGCAGGCGCGCAAGCCGTGCCTATCGCCTCGCACTCGGCGAATTCCGGCGATCGGGGGCCCCACTGGGCCCGCACCAAAAGGTCACTCCAGCCAAGGGTCACTCTTACGTGTAAACGAGACACGCTCTGGAGGCCTCGACCCCCTCTCGAGTTGTGGAAAATCACGACAGGATGTTTTTCGCGATCTTCGGCTGGGCGTCGCTTAAAGGGGGGTGCGATAGATTGGGGGAAGAAAGGTGCACTTCTCGGGCCCTAAAGACCCTCTCTCTTGGGCCATCAAGGGTCCCTTTAGGGGCCCTGAAGGGACCCTTTTCTGCAGCCCTCGCTGCCCCCCAAATTATCGCCCCCCAATTCCGCGACGCCCAATTCGGCCTACCGTGGCCCTCGCCGGGCCTCAGAACCATCAAAAACGACTCTCAGGATGACAAGCGAGTCCTGGGGAATGGGTCGAGACCTCTGGGGGTCGACGTCATGAAAAGAGCATGAGGTCGTGGGTCTGGTTCTAGAGGCCTCCAAGACGGGGTCCGCGTAGATGGGGTCGGAGGATCGCGCCGCATCTGCGATGCAGGCGTGGAGAAAATCGGGCTCCACATCGAGCCGCATCGCCGATGCATCAGCGATGCGGCGAGCAAATCATGCTACCGGAGTTCCCCACATAAAGATGTTACGGGGTTAACGGGATCAACAGGACACAACAGTGGTAATAGAAAATTAAGAAAAAGAATCAAGACGTAAGTTGTTTTGCCGTTTTCGGCCTTCAGTGGCCCTCGCTGGGCCGCAGGCCCGTCAAAGAACAACCTGGGCGGGATGGAAACCCTGAGATGGGAGGGACGACACGGTGGATAACGAATGTGATGATGGGAGAGCAGCGGATGCAGGAGACAGGGCAAGGGGACAAGCGAGAGAGGGTGGGACTGCGCGAGAGGGGCAGAAAATGCAAGTAAGCTGAGGGCGCCTCATCCGACACTGGATGACGGAACATCCAGCGCACGTCGACATCGACAACTAGGACATCCTCCTCCTCCTCCTGCTCCTCCTCCTCCTCCTCCTCCTCCTCCTCCTCCTCCTCCTCCTCCCGAGTCCAGGTCGACGTTTCCCTGGGGAAAGGGCTGGGACTTGCGGGGGCGGCGCATTGAAGAAAATGCAGACATCGCAGGTCTGGGCCTGAAGCTCGTGCGCCTCGCCAGCCTGTGGCGGCGGCTGCCCCGCGGCCTGTGCCTCGGCAGCACGGACCTTCTCCACGCGCGCCCTCCTCCGCATCTTCACCTCGCCGTCGGGGCAGCTGTGGCAGTAGTCGCAGCTCGCGCCGTAGGCGCACCCCTGATGGGGGGGACCCAAAAGTAACACCGGTCACGGTGATCTTTCGGCGAGTGAGCAGCCGTTGGAGTCTACACCTCACTTGTTAGTTTAGACTGATATATCATGTCTGGATTATTTACCTGGCGAGAAGTATTCAATGCGCAGATACTGCTGCCCTGAACCTCTCCACGGGTGCGTTCTGACCAGAATCTCGAGGCGAATCCAGCGGTGGCGACGAGGGCCTCCCAGGAAGCCCACAAAAAGGAAAACGAAGCAAGGGCAGCGGCATCGGTTGGACCAGAAAACGAACGACGCCACCCCACCTACGGCCCCAAAGGGCTTAGCGTATACCAGGACATCTGGCGTTGGTTTCTGCATGGGATACGCTACGGCCCCCTATGGGCCCTAGCGCAACGTGGAGGGCCGTATAGTCGGACCTAGGCCAGAAGAACACCCCTCAAGTACACCAGACCCTCCAGCGGCCAAACTGAAGTACATTCGAGGGTACCCTCCCCCAGGATGCACCAGACCATTCCACAAGCACGAAGAACATCAGGGCACCCTCCCCGAACCGACCTCGGTCCGACTGTAGGTGGGGTGGTGTCACTTGTTGTGTTAGGAGGCAACTACTGGGAGGTTTTCGTCGGAAAGATTAAGGAGGATTAAGCCCCATTTGGGAGCTGTTACGCCGGAGTGGGCCTCGGATTAAGCGGGATTAAGCGGGATTAAGCCAGATTAAGCGGGATTTCGGACCAGGGCAAGATCAGAACTTGACCTCCCAGGAGCTGCAGCCGAAGCTGCGTGCTCGATCCGCGCCTCCCCCTCCGCTGGCCTGGGGCTTCCAGCGCCAGAAGCAGGGCACGCACCGGCCCGTGCCGTGCTCCCGCGAGCCCTGCAGCGGCTGCTCCTCGCCCCCGGCCAGGCCCGGAGGCGCCCGCAGCGGCCGCCCCGCTGCCCCGGCGAGGCCGGGCGGCGCACGCAGCGGCGAGGGGCCCTGGGGCTCGGTGCCGGCACCGCTGGCGGCCACCGGGACGAATGCCATGTCTCCGAGGAAGGTACCGAGACCGTCCCCCCTTGGCTCATTTCCCCCTATGTTCGGGAGCGGCCAAGAGGGGGGTGTCCAAGAGGGGGGGGGGGTGCAAATCAGGACCGGCGGCACGTGCGCGGCCCAGCGGGGGGGCCAGGGACGTAGTGAAATAAGAAGAGGCGCCATGAAATCTGGGGAAATATCATGGCCCTCGCCATGATATCCACCCCCCCCTAGTCATCACCCCCCTATTTTCCGCCCCCGATATTTGGGACTCCTGGGCGGCCCTCGTCACCACCGCTGGATTCGCCTCGAAATCCTGGTCAGAACGCACCCCTGGAGAGGGCCAGGGGGTGCCGGTATCGGTACCTTTTGGTTTCCCCAATGTCGGAGAGGCGCTGAGCTCGCGGCGCCGCGGGGCGCAGCTGTGTGGCGGGGGGAGGGCTCTGCCCACAATGGGCACGAGCAAACAGCTTGAGCCAGAGTAGGCGCGGCACTGCCGTGGAGCCGCCGATGCCCCCCCAGGTCGGCACGACGAGTGGCAAAATGTCCGCCTGGTTCCTTCTTCTCCGCAAGAGCTCCAGTGCCCCATAGTTAGGGTTACAGCTGTTACATGTTCTAGGTCCAATGTTGTCATGATTGAGTCCGCGCGTAGAAAACTCTTGCGTTCCCTTCTCTGGACGAGGTGATCGAAATTTGTTTTGGGGGCCCTGGGACCCGTAACATACAACATAGTCATACCCCCGAAGCCAATCCCTCGTAAGTTACCACAGGATCGCGCTCCCGAGGCCACGATTGTGTAATGTCACTGCGCATTCGCGCCCCCGACGCCACAATCCATAACACATGATAACAGGCTCGCGTTCCCAAATCCGCAATGCCTTTAAACAGCAGAACGCGCTCGTGCTTCCGAAGCTAAAAAAAAACCCTCGCAGATGACGAACTGGCGCCACCCAGGCCACAATCAGCTGCAAAGCACAATGGGCTCGCGCTCCCGAGGTTACAACCTCTTGCAGAACACTGCGCGTTCGCGATCCCGAAGACACGAACCCACCCCGTGGAGGCTTTACAGAAGCGCCCACCCGAGGCCACGAATCTCTGAAAATCCGCCCCCGTGCCTGCACGGAGCAGCGCGTCAGAATGCTCATCTGCCGAGTGCCCCCCCCCCCTCGCCGCACGCGTCGTCGAAAACCGCCCCGCGCGCTGATTTCGCCTTCTGGCGCCCAGTTCGGCCTCGAGACTGCCCCAAGAGGCTGCAGAGACGGCTCCCGAGACAACCGGGCTGAATCCCACCAGCTCTCTGGGCGCAGGTGGTCTAACGATTTCCTCCCTCTTCCACAACCCCTCTTCCCCTCGGGGAGGGCGCCCCTCCCCATCCCCTCTCTGAGGTTTTTCGCAGGCTTCCGCGAGGTGTCAAGGGGGTCCTTCTTCGCCCAAGATGGCTCCAAGAGGGCCTCCGATGTTCCGGCGCCAGGCGTGGCGCGCCGTGCGCCAATGTATAACCTCGCTGGCTCTCAGCGGTGCTTTATACACCGCCGCCCTCCCCTGAGGCCCGGGAACCATCCAGGGAGGGCGCCTGTGTACATATATA